TTTCATACAGAAAATAAAATCATTTTGGAACCAATTCCAAACGCACCCTTAAGATTTCTCATGTATACAATTTTAGACCTTATTTATTTATTTTTGGTGCAAAATATGACTTTTCAACAGAGACGTATCATTGTCGTTGGTATATAGAGAAACTTGTTTATTCCTATGAAGATTTGATATTTTTTTTATTGACTAGAAAAAGATTGTCATTTCTACAAACAATTCTTGTAGCTTTTAAAAAGTCAAAAAAGGAAAAAGCTTTCACTGGATGGAAATATTAACCCAACATATGTAAGTGAAACTTTTATTACAAGGTCACAAATCTAAAATTTGCTAGCACACAACAAGTTCTACAAAGTACAAACAAATGGAAACCACAATTGTACGATGAAAACAGAGAACTAAAAATAAAAACAAACATCAAATTAAGCAGCTAAACAACTAGACACATGCAAAAAGCTAAAAGAAAAGAAACAAGTAATCCTGAATATAGAAAGTCACACGCTTCATCTTCGCATTGGATGGAGCCTCCTTTAGAGCTTGAATTCTAAATTCTTGGATCCCTCACAGCCAATAAATCTGCACCTCGAAGCATAAGATATCACTTCCCACTGTTGATTGATGAACGTTCTGCAATCTTCATTGAGACAGCTCTAACAAGAAAGAGCAGAGTACTAAATTAGATAATAATAAAAAAGAAGAGTTTATAGCTAAATTTGGCCCCGTCAGCTTCACTAATTCGAATCACAACTTAAGTCTTTACAACAATATTTAAAATCAATTTTTATTTTGTTACAGTATTTTTTCTCACGTGAATTCACTTTTTAAATTAAATTCTCAACTCAAACAATCGAAATGAACGAAGCAAAGAGTAGATGTGCAAACTTTTGAAACTTATGTTTCCTAAGAGGTACAGAGATTATGTGCCCTTTACCCACTTATCTCCCAAAACATATATTATTTTGGCTATAATTTAGAGGTGCCCATTTAACAGATTTCTTGACTAAGAAAAGGGGAAATGAAGGAGTTAGATGGATTATATTACCTGTTAAGTGGAAAGGCTTCTTTTCAACTTTGCCCATTTGACAAGAATTATCACATAGAGCCAGTCTCCCATGCCATCCAAGAACCGGAAGTAAGCAAGTCTCCAAGTAGTATTGAGCAACAAATTGGCACAAACTCCACAGAATCCAACTGCAAATCCAGCGCCAATCCCCATACGCAACCACGACATGTCATACCATTCTCCACTATCATCATCATCATAGCTTTCATCAGAAATCATCGGACCTTCCGAAGTTTCATCTCCAGGACATGTAGGGGTCAGAGGTTGCCCACAGAGTTGAAGGTTCCCAGTATATGCAGAAGCATTAAAGCTTTGCAATTGAGTGCTTGTAGGGATTCTTCCTGACAGTTGGTTATCCGACAAATCCAAGTAATCAAGAGTAGATACTTGGGCAAAGCTTGTTGGAATTTTACCTGAGAGCTTATTATGGGACAAATCTAATGATTCGATCTTACTCAACATCCCGATCTTCTTCGGGATGACTCCGCTAAGATTATTCCTCGATAGGTTTAGTTGATTTAGTTCCGCAAGACTTGCCAATTCTTCAGGAATCTCTCCAATCAATCTATTGCATGAAAGATCAACGATTCTCAACAATCCAAGAATCTCCTTGTATGTGTACTCTACTCCTTTCCACGTAATCAATGCAGTAGTTAGAGAATTAGACATGCCGTCTGAACCAACATGAAAATCGACTGAGATGTAGTTATCTCTATCCCCAGTGACTTGAACCATTGAGGTATAATTGTTGATGCATGAAGGAATTTCCCCAGAGAGATGATTAAGAGAAAGATCTATTATCTGAAGTAATTGGAGATTGCATAGATTCAGCGGTATACTTCCCAAGAACCTATTTGATTTCAGTCTTAGAAAAACCAATTCTGTTAAGCTTTCCCCAATCCAAGTGGGTATTTCCCCTTCCAAATGATTCCCGCCAACATCGAGTACTTCCAGACTGGTGCAATTCTTCAACAGCGATGGCAAACTTCCTGAGAAACTGTTATTTCTTAAATTCAAATGCGCAATTTGGTATAACAAACCGATTGAGCCTGGGATTACTCCGGACAATTCATTGCTTTCCAATATGAGGACACCCAACTCCTTCAAATTCCACCAACAATCAGGAAGGCTTCCAGATAACAGATTATTTGAAAGGTCAAGAAATCCGGTTGCTCCGTCTTTTTGGTCACATAGGAAAGACTTTAATTCACTGAACTTATTATTAGAGAGATGCAACCCTATTGCATTTGACAGAGATGGTGGGATAGAACCATGGAATTGATTGGAACTCAAATCGACTACTTGTATGAGATTAGACGTGAATGGAAAGTTTGGGAAGGTGCCATTCATAAGATTGGAAGATAGAAGTAGATACTCCAATTTTATAGTCAGATCAGAGAACCAATTTGGAATAGCACCGGAAATTCCAGAATTGGAAATGAAAAGATTTGAAAGATTTAATTGGGTATGGAGCCAGCTTGGAAATTGTGGACCTAACTTGCAAGAACTCAATGATAAGGAAATCAATTGAAAAGGGGGAATCCAATTGGAGTTGAAACTCAATGTCAAATTATTAGAAGATAGGTACAGGAACTTTAATTTGGAAAGCTTTTGGAAGTGGACTTCAGAGACAACCCCAGACAGAGAGCTTGAAGAGATATCCAAACTCTCTAGATTATGGAGCTCACCAATACTTTCTGGTAATGGTCCTGTCAGTCGATTACCTGTCAAGCCTAAAATAACAAGTTTTGGAAATCGGCTCAAACAGATTGGAAAAAAACCTTCTAACAGATTGTAGGAGAGGTCTAGCTCTCTCAAAGAGGGAAATGTTTTGTCACCTTCAAGAATTAACCCTCCATGAAGTTGGTTCCCACCCAAATCCAAATCTCTTGGAGTTGTTCCGGTCAAATTGATGTCACTCAAAACTAATTTTCTTAGGTTGGTAACATTTCCCAAGGATTTTGGTATTTGATTTCCAAGTCCATCATTGGAAGAAATCTCAACATGTATGAGGGAATTCATTTTCTGGAAAGAGTTTGGAAGTGAGCCATGGATCGAGTTATAGTGGAGGGTAAGGTTAACAAGGTTAGCGCTAGAATTTAGCAACCAGGTAAGCACAGTGGAATGTATTGTATTTCTATACAGCTGAAGAGTGGTGAGAGAATTGGATGAATTTGCATAGAATGAGGACAAAATGTCGATCTCAAGAAGTTGGCAGCCTGATAGCTCTAAGCTTGATAAGGACGGTGGAATTTTTGGATATCTTACTGCAAAATTAGTGCTACTAGAACTGTGTAGCGTAAAATGTCTCAAAGAAGAGAGATGAGAAAGCCATTCAAGATTATCGGCAATCATTTGAGCATCAAGATCAAGGAACTTCAGTTTAGTGAGCTTTCCAAGTTGGAAATGACTAGCATCTCCAGTCATAAAATTTGAGAGGCGTAGACCAACAAGGTTGCTACTAGAATTTAGCAGCCAATTAATTGTTGTGGAATGTACCGTATTATCAAGCATCACAAGACTGGTTAGAGAATCGGAGGAATTTGGATAAGAAGGAAATGAGGTATCTACCTGGGGAAAAAGACAGTCCAGTAATTCTAAGCTTGCTAAAGAAGGCGGCATGCGAAAAGATTGAAGGCTGGCTTTGGTGAAATTGGCGCCATAGAACTTCAAAAATCTGAGAGAAGGAAAATGAGAAAGCCATTCAAGATTATCAGCGGTCATGAGTTGATCACCACCACCACCACCACCACTCTCTAGGTTAAGAAACTGCAATTTGGTGAGATTTCCAAGGTGAGAAGGAATAGCTCCATTCACTGGGAGGTCAAGATGAGAAAGCCTTTTCAAAGAAGCAATAAACTTTGGAATCCGGGTGAAATAATTCCCCCTCAAGTCGAGATGCTTCAAATATTTCAATTCAACCAAGGAATGTCCAATCTCACCACCAATCATATCATATTGAAGATCAAGCATAATGACATGATTGGTTCGAATATCGCGCCCGATCCCCCCATCCAAGTACAACAGTCTCGGTTGCTGCTGCTATTTGTCCAGGAGGAGAGGGCGTTGCCAGGATCATCAAGGCCTTGCTTGAAAGCGAGAAGAGCAAGTCTCTCCCTGTCTATGCACCCCACTTCATGTTGGTTCCCGCCAGCCTCACCCAATGCATGAACAATATGAGTGGTGGCTAGCAACAACACCAGCCCTGCAGTATCATACTCATTGTTACCTTCAATTGAAAATGAAGCAAATATTTTTTTGAATTCCTAATCTGCCTCACGTCTCTGTCCATATATATACACGAGGACTAACTTATGACCCTTTTAATTCACTGATTCGAGTTGAGATATGACTTTATGTGAGTTTTTTTAATGTAGCAAAAAAGTTAGATATGATTGTTTCTGAGAGCTTTTTACTGTAACAAAACTCGAATTGGTGAAATGAACAAGACTCTAATAAATAAATGTCTTAGACCATTGGATAATTTTCTAGTGCTATTGAACCAACAATCATGCGTTGACTTAAAATATGAGTATTCTATGTCATATTATTGATTAAATTGGACATTGCAGTTACTTTTTGTAACAGTTACTTTTTTTAATATAATTAACAGTAATTTTTTTAAAATCTACAGCACTACTAAATTGGCCCTTAATCTCTTTGTACTATGAATCTGTAATGCAAAATACAGGGACATCATATATTCCCTTTTAGAAGGAAAAAAACAAATAAAATACAAGAGTTTTATTTATTTATTTATTTATTTATTTATTTTTATACAGAGATATCATGTAACGATATCCAACAAATGAATTTATTATAAATGACAAGAAACGGTAATTTCAGTACGGCAAACTAGCCTTTTTTTTTTTTCCGAATGAAGTGATTAACAACAACATCATAGAAGAACGAAAAAAAAATAGAAACCAATGTTCTTTTTAACCCGTATCTCTTCCAACAAAAAAAAAAAAAGACACTTCAATTCATATATATGAAAAAAACTACAAAGAAAAAAATAAATTTGATTTGTGGGTGATACTGATGAAAAAAAAAAAAAAAAAAACAATACAATTTAGTTGTAAGGAATTTTTTTTTAAGATGGGTGTAACAAGTAGAACCAGAGTATTTTAAGAATGTGTGTGTGAAAAAAAAAATAGGTGTGATTTAGTTGTAGAGATTTTTTTAAAATTTTAAAAGAGATGTAACAAATAAAATGAGGATGTTTTAAGAATATGTGTGTGAAAAGTTAAAAAAAATAGACGTCAATAGATACACCTTTATCAATTTATATAATTCACGACTCCAAAACCGGAGTATATGTATATATTTTTACATAGTATATATTTTCCTACATTTACTTTTAATAAATATTGTTGTGAGTTCTCGCAAATATATGAATCGCAATAAGTAACACAAGACGTTAAAAAAAAAGGTATCATTCTCATGAAAGTGTGAAAATATTGTGCTAATTTTAGTTAAGTATCATGATAGAAACAAAAGAAGCACTCAAGCTCAAATATTTAAGAAAACACTTAGAGCTTGTAAATGTTTCAAAAATTCACTCCCTGGAAATTAAATGCCAATGGATTAGGATAAATAGTCGATCATTATTCAATTTGAAAACAAATTGAATTGACTATCAACAGAGGAGAAAAAGAAAAAGGTGTAATTGACTTCTACCTTGAAAGACACGAAATGATGACTATTGAGCAAGTTGGTTGTTAGTAACTTAGGTCTCGTTAATTTCACCGATTCAAGTTTTGTTACAGTAAAAAGTTCTTAAAAACAATCGCATCTAATTTTTTTACTACGGTAAAAAATTCTCATATAAAGTCACATCTCAGCTCGAATTAAAAACTAAAATCAGCAAATTAAACGGGCCCTTATTATTTTCTTGAAGAAAATTCTAAAAACAACTCAATTATAATGGGACTAAAAGACGTTTGGTTAATGGATTAGAATCATGATATTAGAATTATTTTCAATTTATGTGTATTTTTTATGAGAAAAAATACTATAGCGAATCACGAATTATGATTTGAATCGGGGTACGAATCCCCTAACTAAACAACTCCTAAAAACTTTACAGGGTGTTTTTCATTTTGCAATCATGTCGTCCACTTATGATATATTCTATCGTGTTTTATGGTTCAAGAAAAATAAGAAAACCAAGTCACCCAAAGCTGTTAAATTTCCACATATTTTTCTTCCTGACTTCTACGTTGTCCTTTTCTAAGGGTATGCTTGATAAGAGGGAGAGAGATGATGGAGGGAGAGGTCACTTTTTTTTTTTCTAATTTATTTACTATTTTTCTTATTTCTAATTTTTCTAAACATCGGTGGGATTTAGTTTCAATATTTCAAAAATTCACTCCGTAGAAATTAAATGCCATATGGATATGCATAAATAGTCAATCGATCATTATTCAATTTGAAAACAAAATGAATTGACTATCAACAGAGGAAAAAAGAAGAAGGTGCAATTGACTTCTACCTTGAAAGACACGAAATGATGACTATTGAACAAATTGGTAGCTAGTAACTTATTATTTTCTTGAAGAAAATTCTAAAAACAACTCAATTATAATGGACTAAAAGACTTTCTAGGGTGTTTTTCATTTTGCAATCATGTCGTCCACTTATGATATATTCTATCGTGTTTTATGGTTCAAGAAAAATAAGAAAATCAAGGGCTTGTTTTTTTGAAATAAAACTAAAAAAAAGTTTGAATTTAAGTTACAATTTTATTTAAATTTATGTTTTTTTGTAAAATTTTAGTTTGAACTTGAGTTTGGGGTTAAAATCAGAGTTCAAGTTTCCCCTTCAACTCAAGTTCTTAAACTCAAACTCAAGTTAATGAATAATATTTTTTCTATTCTTAAAAACGTCATAACTTTTTCGTTTTAATTCCGATTGAGATGATTTTTTTTTTATTTTTTTCGCCACACTATGACCCATAGTCGGTCAAGCTATGACTTATAGTTTACCAGGCTATGATCCATAGTTTACCAGGCTATGACCCATAGTCTGTAAGGTTACGCCAGCCAGCAAGTCTCCAGTTGCTGAAAAGTCATAGTATGTCAGACTATAACCCATAGTCTAACAAATTACACCAACCGCATAGTTTGATAAGTTATACTAACTGTTTGCAGACTAGGACTCATAATTTAATAAATTACACCAGCCGTCGATATAATCTATTAGACTATGCCCCATAATTTAATAGAGTTTTCCTACCCATCACCTTTATGTGTAAATTCCTCGGTAAATCTTTAAGTAGATGCAGTCGTACTGAATCTAAACCATTAATTCACACTTTGAACATCAAATCTCGAGGTGTTTTTCTTTTTTTTTTTTTAAATGGCCATTGTTCCCGAATCAGCATATATACATTTCACTGATTATATTAAAACCTCATAATCAATTTTCAAACAATCACATATACTATATATATATATATATCAAGGAAAAACCATATTAATATATATCTTAATATGCTGTTTGGCATATATATGTTAATATGATTTTTCGTTGATATATATATATATATATATGCCAAACAGCGTATCTTACCGAACAACGAATAAACATATCAATATCAATATATATATATATATATTGTTAGACAATATAATTGAAAATACAAAGAAGAATAAGAAAATAAAGGAATAACAAAATAATGAAAATTGTTACAACCCGAAATCAACCTTTCTATGGAATTCGGAAAACGGAATTGTATGAATGTCGAGGCACGTGAACCACGTTGTCCTTAAAACAGATTCGTCCCCTCCGGCGTGTGCTTGAGGTTACATTGGACGTCCGTCTCCCAGGATACAACGACAACGACGGCAGCTCGATGCACTTTCGGAACCGTCCGGCGAACTAGAACTTGATCTTTCCTCTATCACCAAAACCGAACTACAAGAACTACTTAAGGAAATCCGGAACAAACCAAGAGAGAGAGAGAACCGAAAAGGAGAAGAGAATTGTGAGAAAGTGTGTTGCCTATCATGTGGAGTTTTGGCCTTTATATAGGCTCCAAAATCTGGGTGTTACACCAAGACATTATGGTGTAATAACCCAGATTTATTCCCGGAATAATGGTGATTAAAACCAGCCAAAACGTTTTTTGATTTCCCATGGTGAATCTGGCCACATTCTGGCTAGTAATTCAGCTTTTGATGATGGAAAACCGAAGCCATGAAAGCTTGATTCGGTTTAGCCTCCATTGATCACCATTAAGGTCTCATTATGGTCTTTAACCATCATTGTTTTATGCCAAACGGAAGCTGGAAGGTCTTGGCTAGAGCAAAAATAAAATCGCAAAAGTAAGCTCACGCGTTTTTCGGTCCGGCATTCGTGTCCGCAGGTCGCGGGCGCACACATTAGGCCCCAAACCCGCCGGG